CCTCTACGTGATAGCTTTCCTTTCTTTGCTGGGTTGGTACCTTATCATCACTAGGGGTGGGGGACCTCTATTTAAAAGACAAGTTATCAGAGAGAGAGAGACCTTCCCTGACACTGTGACTTTTGTACCCCCACCAATCATTAGCATAGATGTTTTATCATCTCCATGACACTTATCTATGGTCTATTTTTCCAGCACCCTGCACACTGCCTGGCACACAGTAGGTGCTTATTAAATGTGTTACTTAGTGAATAAATTCATTGAGCCTGAATCTATCAGATGAATTCTAAAGATGGCGTTTTTTGTTTTACAGACAGAATCTGTGAGTGCAATATTAGGAAAATACTAAGTGATCAATGGTGGGGAGGCTGCCTCAAAACTCACCTTGTTGTTGGGAAAATTGGACAGATACATGCAAAAACAACGAAACTGGACAAACCTTCTTACACCATATACAAGAACAGACTCAAATGGATTAAAGACTTAAATATAAGACCTGAAACCATAAAACTTTTAGAAGAAAACATAGGCAGTAATCTCTCCAATATTACTACTAGGAATTTCTTTTTGGATATATCTTCCCAGGCAAGGGAAACAAAAGAAAAAAATAGACAAATAAGACTACATCAAACTAAAAAGTTTTTGCACAGCAAAGGAAACCATCAACAAAACTACTGAATGGGAGAAGATATGTGGGTAGATAAATGGGATAAGGGGTTAATATTCAAAATACACAACAACTCATACAACTAAACACAACAACAAAAATAAACGATCCAATTAAAAAATAGGCAGAAGACCCGAATAGAGATTTTTCCAAAGAGGAAACACAGATGGCAAATAGGCACATGAAAAGATGCTCAAGGTCACTAATCATCAGAGAAATGCACATTAAAACCACGACGCGATATCACCTCACACCTGTCAGAATGGCTATCATCAATAAATCAAAGAACAAGTGTTGGCGAGGACGTGGAGAAAAAGGAACCCTCATACATTGTTGGCGAAAAATGGATCTACCTTTTGACCCAGCAATTGCACTTTGTGGTATTTACCCAAAGAAAACCAAAACAATAATTCGTAAAGATCTATGCACCCCTATGCTCATGGCAGCACTATTCACAATAGCCAAAATATGGAAGCAATCTAAGTGCCCATCAACAGACAATTGGATAAAAAAAATATGGTTCATATATACAATGGAATATTACTCACCCATAAACAATGAAATGCTATCATTTGCAACAACATGGATGGACCTAGAGATTATTATGCCGAGTGAAATAAGTCAGACGGAGAAGGGTAAATACCATATGATTTCATTGATATGCAGAATCGAAAACAGACCCACAAATATAGAGGACAATCTGGTGATGGCCACAGGGGAGGGGGTTGGGGGGCTGGGAGAAAGTGGTAAAGGGTTAAAGAAAAGCAAATCAGTAATTGATAGACGGTCACAGGGATGGGGAGCACAACATAGGGAATGCAGTCAGCCTACTGTAATGGCTAGGTGGAAAGCCAGAGGGAAGATAGAGTAATCGGGGGATTGTTTCATAAACTATGTAACTGTCTAACCAATGTACTGTATACTTGAAACTAATAAAAAAAAATCTCACCCTGTGATAGGAGCCTTCCTTTATCCACCTGCCAAAATGGTCCGTTCTTATGCTATAGCCTAGCAACCAGCCCCCATATACTACTTTTATATTATATCAAAAACACTTATAAATGACTGTGCATCTCTTTCAAGTGTGTTCAGATCTCTACTCAAGTGCTCACCTTTAGAAATGCAGGATCTGTTCTTTCCTCATTCACACATCCTAATACAACCCTCCGCACACATCCACAAATTGGGTGTATTAGCCACTGAGCCCAGCGGCTGAATGACCAAAAGGGACATGGCCCTTCAAAGGAAGCCCACATTGTCACAATGGGGAAGGCATACACACAACATACTCACCCGTAGGGTCTGAGCCGTGAGGACACAAACGGTTCCCACCATATAAAACCGATCCTCCAAAGGAAGTTGTTTAGCAAGTGACTCAGCCCAGGATCGGCTGGGTAAGAAGTTATTCAAAAGCGTCAAAGGCTCTAAGGGAGACATAGACACGCATGTGACAAACTAATAAAAAGGCAGATCAATTATACAAGAAGATGGAAAAGTTACACAACTTTCAGGATTCTGAGCCATAGATTTTTCCTGTCTTCCTTCTGTTCCAGCCACCCTCCCCATTCTGTTATCCACTAAAACGTAAAGAAGTTGTTACTGAGAAATAATTGTTGTGAGTTCAGGGTGATTTTCAGTCCTGTGTTCTTAATCTGTTGCTGATGTTTTAGTCTTTAAAAAAATTAGCTCCCCTCTTTAAAGATATCACATGGGTATTAAATGTGTGTAATTTGTGTTTGTATGTAGTCAAGTAAGATTTTTTTAAAGAGGTATCTGATTTTTACATTCTAACACACGAGCATATGAATCATTGTTAGTTAATTTTTATTGTTTATTTACTCATTAACTCGTTAGTTTATTATGTTTTTAGACCCTAGTAGCAAAGAACTGAGTTAATTATACTCTTAGTTCATGGCATATTATGAACACAGATAAAGTCTCTGCTCTTTTTATTTTTTTCGCTCTATCCCTTTCCCATCCAGACACAGTCATCTGCCACCTTTAATATATATTCTTGTAAAATATGTAGTCTGGTTTTGTGTGTGTGTGTGTGTGTGTGTGTGTGTGTGTGTGTGTGTGTTTACAACTTACAAAAGTGGCACAGAGCCACAGATCTCATTCCACTTCTTATTTTTTAATCAACAACATGGTTTTAAGATTTAACTATGTTATAGTATGTATATCTAGAGTTCACTGCTTCTAACTATTACAAAATTTTCCATGTTATATGTTTCCCAGATTTTACTTGTCCATATCCCTAATGATACGCACCTAAGTTGTTTTCAACTCCCTCTTATCAGAAACTCCGCAATGGCATGCAAAGTACAGTCAACCAGACAAAGATCTCTCTGCGAGTTTATCTCTGGGGTATTTCCACCCAGTGATGGGATTGCTGAGTCATAGCATAATCAACATAACTTAAATTCACTGTTTTTCAGGATGGCTTATGAGTTTACATTGCTCTCAACACTGCATTTTTTTTTTTTTTTTATTTCTCACATCCATATCAACATTTGGTATCATTCACACTTCCAATTGTTGCCATTCTGATGGGTATACATACAGTGGTCTCTCACTGATTTTTAAATTTTTCATTCTTTGCTTACTAGTGGGTTTGAGCATCTTTCACATATTTCTTGGGCTATTTAGCTCTAATTCAAGCCCCACATTTTTTAATGGCCCCAAATCAGTGTTTATGTTAATTTCTCAGCTTGCAGTTCCAGAAATCTTAAAATTAAATTTGGAACCATATTCATAGGATGCAAGTTTGGTTTTTGAGTTCCTATAAATGGCACACTTTTTCTCATTCAAACTCTGAAAGAGAAGGCAACCTTATACTTCCTCTAGGCCAGTGGAGAGAATTTAATTGATCGTTTTAAGTTTCTAGGTTTTATGTGTTGGTCCTTGAATGAGTGTTAGAACTCCTGACCCAAGCCAACAGTACCTATGTCTGATTTAAAACCTACCTAGGCTGCCACAAAATCATCTTCCTCTTATCACCATGGTTCTGTACTTTACCCTTTAATTTCTGACACCCACGGACTTCCCTTTCTTTTAAGTCTGGCTATGCATTAAACTTTTGTTATGTTTTAACAATCATTTCCTTGTTGTCTTAGAAGGAAAGAACCATCCTTAACAGCTCAATCCACCATGTTACCATATGACCCCACCTTAAAAATTTCATTATTAATTTTTTTAAAGTCCAATTAATGTCTGTAACAGAAACCTGTGGTCACAGGGCTATCAGAGACTGACAGTACCAACAAAAGAAGGACATTTATGTTAGCAACGAAAGGCTGCATAACTCATGAACTTTATCTAGATCAAATTAAAAACTGAATTGCTTACCATTCAAAAAATCTTTTATACTCATGATAAATTTCACATATTCATAAGTAGGGCCTTCGGGTTTAATATCTCCTCTTCTTAAATGACAACAAAAATTAGTCTGCTTTCCCACTAAAAGAAAGCAGATACAAAACAAGTTTACATTTGTACTTTACCAGATTCTTTGGGATTATTTCAAATAACTATTGCCTTAGACTAGATTTTCCGAAAATATTATTTTCTTTTTATGAACATTAATTAGCACTCACATAGCTACCTATGTTGTATCTGTAGAATGGGTTACCAGCTAGAACGTTATTTATGTCACATTAATGCAATCATACAAAAGCTGAAGCGATCAGGATTCATGATAAAGAATGAGATTTAATGGAGAAGATTTTTTTAACACTAGAAATATAATTTGTGAAATTATAGTAAGTAAAATTAATATATAAGCAGCAGCAATACTGGCTTGAATGTCTTTATTTTTACTACTCCTGAGTGATTGTTATCTGTCTATTAAAATCCAAGAACTTACTATTTAGAAAACACAATCTATACCTAAATTTGATGCAGGAAGCTTGATGGTAATCTTTCCACAGATTCCTCTCTTCTCTTTATCAGGCAGAAGGCTTAGTAATTTTTTACCCACGATTTCATCCTCGAGAAGGAAAGAGAAGGAGAGAGAGAACAAATGTTGTTATATGTACTACTACTGTTCACTTTATCTATCTCCTTACCTCCAGTAAGCTTATCATCTGCCTGCCCCAGCCATCTTATGATCATATCTGTTGTAACTGTTAAAGTCCCGATTCGCATTACCCCACTCTGTGACCATCACCCCTACTTTCTAGTGCACTCATGCAAGTACCACCCTCTCCAACAATTGTACAACTGAGACTTCCAGTGCATTCCTATCTCATTTTCACCGTGTATTATCTCCTTCAAATTGTCACATTCCTCCTTAGATTCCATGGTCAATCATTATAATCACTCAGATTCCATGGTCAATCATTATAATCACTCCCATGTGCTCTTTCTCTCTGACATATTTTTCCTGGAAAAATACCAACTCTGGTTAATTCCAACTCTTTATATACCGTATATCTTCACCCAAGCTGTATATGTATGACGAAAAACCAACCATGCTGTGTATTATTTAAAATGGGCACTCAGCTCTGCCTAGAAATCATTCTACATTTCCCTAGACAATTCACTCTCCTACTCCTCAATGTAACTATCTCTTGCCTTTTCCTCCTTCTTCAAGTCTCCAACCCCAATTTGGCTGGGTATCTCATTTCTTATTTCAATGAAAAACAAAGGGATAAGAAAATGTCCATATCACCCTGCCACTAAATCTACCAACTTATCTGTTCCTGTGGTCAGAGACCTGCTTTCCCTCCCATTTCAATGAATTAGGTTCTACCTAAGTCTAGTGGACTGCCTCTCATCCTTTCTCAACTATTCAAGGATATCATTCCAGAAAATTTCCCTCACCCCTACATCATTAAGCTATTCCTCTCTACTGGTTCTTTCCCATGGTATGCAAATATTACATCAGAGATGCTATAATATTTGTCATATCAAAAACAACACCAAATTCCAAAAATCCCAAACCTTCCTTGACACTACATCCTTTCCACCAGCTCTATTTCTCTGGTCCACTTTAGAACAAAAATCCTTGAAAGGAACTATACAATGTGGTCTCTCATTTCTTCACCTCTCACTCTCCCTTGAAACCACTCTAATCAGATTTGTATCCTAACCATGACACTCTTGTCAGGGTCACTAATGACCTCTACATTGCCAATTCCAATAGTCAATTCTCAACCCTCATCTTACCTAACATGTCAGCATTTGATACAACTGATTCTTCCTTCTTCCTTGAAACACTTTACTTGGCTTTTGGACACCATACACATATGGATACCCTTCACCTTTGCAGTTCTCTTTCCTGGCTTATTCTCTACCTGACTACTTGGCATTGGAATGCTCAGGGCCTACTCATTGGACCTCTTTTCTTACTATACTATCTCCCTGGGTATTCTCTTCCAGTTCCACATCATCAAATACCACCTCTCCGCATCTCATCTTCAGTCCACACTTCGCCCTGAATTCTCAATAACTCAACTTGAATGTCTAATAGGATCTCAATTTTAAGATATCCAAAACAATGCAAAACATCTTTTCCCTCACAAAACATGCTCCTCCCTCAGTCTTCTTCATTTCAGTAAATGGCACTACTATTTACCCACTTGTTTGTCCTTGACTTGCCTTTTTTTTCTCTCAAACCCCAAATCCAGTCCATCAGCAAACTCTGTTGGTTCTATCTTCAAAATATATACAGGATCAGTATACTTCTCACTACTTGGTCTAAGCCATCCTTTCTTACTTGGATTACTGCAATAGTCTTAACTAGTCTCCCTGCATCTGTTGCCACAACCCTGATCCCACTCCACCCTCCACAGAGCAGTTGGAATGATCCATAAAAAACATAAGTCAGAATTCTGGTCAAGATGCTTCATCTAACCTACTGTTGATTCCTTCTAATGCACTCTTCATTTTAGTTATTGTAGTCTTCATTTCTGACTGGTTATTTTTTATAGTTTCTATCTCTTTGTGTAAGTTCTGACTGGTTTCATCTACTCTTCCCCTAAGTTCATTGAATATCCTTATAACCAGTGTTTTGAACTCTGCCTTTTTATTTCATAGTACTTACTACCTGACATTATAGTCACATGTATATGTTTATCTATTTATTATCTGTCTCCCTCAGTAAAATGTAAATTGCTTTAGAACAGACACCTTCACTGTCTTATTCACCGCTACATCCTCAACACCTGGAACACAGCTTGGCACAAGTGAGCACTTAATAAATATTAGTGGGATGAATTAATAATGCTGTATCATGTAGTTAAAATATGGTGACACATGGATAAATAGAATATCAGACATTAAGTTAAGTAATGAGTTTTTGATGTGACAGGAACAAAGCAATAAAGTATTCCTGGTAGCTGAATAATGGCCTAGGGTGATGACCCACAAATTCAAATGATTTTTTAACTGCTTAATATTAATAATCTACAGTCAAAACTCAAAAATATATTTTTATGGTTCATTTGTAGAAGCCACCTTGAGTTGGCCAATGCTCAAATTAGCAGATAGATCTTGTCTCAATAATAGTAAAAAAAAAAAAAAAAGCTTGGCTTGATTCAGGGCAGAAAATTATCTTAATTTAGCAAACAAAACATTATGAAATTAACAAGCAATAAATTTTGACAATGAAAGTCACACGGTAAGAAACTGACTTCCCAAAAGAAATATAGATATTTTTCAGTAAACAATTTTTTTCAAGAAAAATGTTTTCATTGGTTTAGTTATAAAATAAACTTTAGGTACTAAATTGAATTATCTCTGCTCAGTAGAGACCATTCATTCATTCATCTGACACACAATCAACAGCTGTTTCATGCCAGACATTGTACTGGGTATGTTCATACAAACTAGCTCACTTTATACTCTGTGAGAGGAACAATTACCCCCTATTTTATTCACAAGGAAATTAAGGCTTGTCCAATTATTAAGAGGTCACAAGTTCAGAGATGAGATTCATATGCAGCAGCGTCCAACTCAATGTCCATTGTTCCTTTCACTACACCATAGCGGCCTTGAGTTCAATTTGCACCAGGAGCAGCTGATTTGCTACTGCATCAGTTTCTGCATTTTGGACATTCTATTTAAAGTAATTCATTATTTTATTTTATTTTTTTTTACTGAATACTTATGAGGGTTAAAAAAGATGAACCTGATATGAATTCTAGTTTCAATGAACACATAGTTCAGTAGGGCAAGCGAGACATACACAAACAATTATGTGATGCAAAGTATAAAAATAATACAAAGTGCTGTGGCTCACCAGTTCTCTCATTAGTAGAAAAATGTGATAGCATTGTCACTTAAAACAATGCAAAGGGAGCAGTCTTCTGATAGTGTACATTCCCTTGGATGGAAATAGTGGCAATGGGTTTCTTACTAATTAACTATATTCTTCAAGGAAGGTAACAGTGACAATGAATGCCTTATAATTGACTACTCACTAAAAACAGTAAAGCTAACGATCATTCTAGTGATCCTGCTCCATAGTTAGATAAAGGTAGAGACCTGAAAGCATTAGCAACACCATATCATCTTTGTAAATCTTTGGCATTTGCTCTTCTTATTACACAAGGCAGAAAGATCAAGGTACTTAGAGTATAATGAAGCGAAGATAAATACCAGTGAAAAATTGAGATTTTTCAAAAGCCAAGTTTGAGAGTATCTATTTAATTGTCCCACAAATATTAGTATGGAGAGTCTCAGTCATGCCAAAAAAAAAAAAAAAAAAGAATAAAGGAATTTACTACACTCCATGACATTTACTGAGAATCCAAGCAACAAGCATCTTTTTGCTAGCAAAAAATTGTGTCTTCGTTATAATCCTTTTTAACCCTGTTTTATAAGAATAACTTCATTATCATTTAATGTTTATGTACAAGCATAATAAGTATAGCTTTATTTTTAAGTACACCAGTCTCAAGTAATCAAGTCCATGGTTTCAAATTAGTCATTTAAACCCGTGTCCCAAACACCTTAGGGTGACTGTGTGTGTGCGTGGTACCTCAAATTTTGAAGGGTGAGAGTCTCGAGAGTGAAAACTTCAAACCAAAATACATAAAGAAACAAACATAATGTTATAATTAATACTATGATTGTGAAAAATTCTCAAGTAACAGGAAATAGTCACCAGTCTCATTCAATGATCGATTTGGTTTAAGTAATATCTAACACCACGAGAATCTGGGTAGTTTTCTAGTCTTCACTATAACAAAATTTAATCTGTAATGTAGCACATTCATAAATTCTTTCTTTCAATATAAATTTAATAAGATCATTCCCCTTCTATGATATATGTACTCTAAAGTCCAATTCAATGAATATCTCTAATATCTGTATTTTATTCAGCTGTTTTGGTGTCTGAATTTGAAAATGAAAACTGTTTTCTAAAAGAAAGGAAGAGAATGACAGATAAGGAAATGGATCACAGTATCTGTAAATAAAGAGAAAAGAGTAGAAAAGCTCTCTGAGTTCCTAAGGGGTCATGGGACATGCCAACCAAAACAATATAACTACTGGAATAAGCTTCTAAACTACTTCTAACTTAAGGATAATTTAACAAAACTTCTATTAATGTGCATATTCCAAATTTAAGTACTATGGTCTCTAGGTCAGGGTTTGTCAAGTTCCTGAAACAACTTTGTGGAGTGAGGAATACACAAGGAACACAACAATCCAGATATGATTAACAAGCAGCTAAGTGACAGAGATTTCAGGAGTCATTGTGGTGGTAGATGTATTCTACACAGCCCCTCTTCACATACATGCAGGAGGGGAATGTGAAGGTATGTAGTATTTTCATATTTAAGTGATATAGTTTTTAGGTGTGCAGCCTGAAGATCCAGAAAAAAATTTAGGAAATCATATATTCTAAATCAATGGTACTAAGAAGATACAAAAAGCTTTTCTGAGGGGGCCATAGTAACACCAAAGGGCTCAGGACGAGTGACCATTTTGGACACCAGAGACCCTGACAACAACTCATGTGTAGGTGTCTCCAGCAATACTTACAAATTGCTAAGCTGTGAATCGTTTTTATATGTTTACCTAAATGAGGTCATAATTTGTTCTTCAATATATAGAAACAAAAAGCAAAGTAAACCTGGAAATGGATGCCATGAACCAGCATGAACAAATCATGACATTTAATGTTTAATCAGTATGTGGTGGACTCTAAAGAAATGGACAAAGTCGAACATATCTATCACAGTGAAAGCTGCCTCACAAAACAGTCACCCTGGGGACCATCCACTAACTCTAAGGAAATTGCCATTTCAAAAAGCACATTCTTATTTGAAAGACTGCCTTCAGGGGCAGTTTACAAATCTCACACACACACACACATACACGCATGCATGCACACACATACACGCACAATGTTTCATTACCTCATATTAGAGTTTGTTTTTATAGATTTAAAACTTAAACCAATGGAGATGACAATAGAACAGGTACACATTTAGACAACACTGAGGATGTCTTGATGAGTTATATGTTCCTGAAAACAAATAATGAACTCTTAAACAACAAACCGAATGATACTCTTTCCAAAATCTAAAAGAACTTACTGGTGAATAGCCAAGGAGAGAGGAGACGTTTTCGCCCACAAAAATGATCACTCCTTCTGTGCTCAGTATTATCATAAAGCCATCTAATAACTAATAAAGAGAGAATAATGTAATTAAATAGTGGAACAATAAAATGATAGCTTTATTTCTAAATGCATAAATAATCATAATAGCACACTAAAAATGTATCCTTGTCTTTAAATATCAATGAAGCAGGCACAAACTTAATTAAAATTATATTATTTTGCCTCCTACACAGAATCTACTTAACCTTAAACATGATATATTTATCAAATGTGTCACTTAAACAAATTTCAATGTACACCTAATTAACACAAAACTCTCCAATACAAGCTAGGAAGATTCATTTCCATGTTTAGGCTGTTTCACATCTAATTTAAAATTAATTTCAAAAGAGTATTTTAGAGGACATTTTCATTTGTGGTTAATTTAGTCATCTACTTATAAATATGGACATTGTCATCACTGTCTTGCTATACAATGGATTCGATATCCAGACAAATACCTTCTGGTAGAGAACACCTAAAATATATAAAAACTTATATTTCAAAACAGGACCAAGCATATGGTAAAGTAAGAGAAACAATCTGATATCAGAAATGAGTAGAAAATGGGAATGAAGATGTAAGGAGATACTGGAGCCTATTTTTGCCTTGGGACTACTGCACAGCACTTACGACATAGCGCCTGGGGGACAAAAAGCAAAGCCAGGGCCTGTACAAAGTAGAAGTGAAATCAGAGACTCTTGCATAAAGCCAGGCCTCCCAAAGGGTGACACTCACAGCAGGCAAAACAGACCTTATCCAGCAAAAGGAGAAGAGGAATGTACATGCCTGCCTAAGCCTCAGCTCTGGCTAAAGAAGGAAAAGAACCAGTCTCAACTGGTCATTGCTAAAAGGAAGCCCACACTCCCATAAATTTGGAGCTGGAATTCACAAACTACCTGTGTAGCCCTTAACACTTTGATCCTATTATTTAGTTTAAAATGGTCCTGACTGCAGATAGCTAGTAAAAAGAAATTGAAATCAGCTCCAGAGAATTCTTTTAAAACCAGAGCTCAAACAATTCATGCAGATAAAGTTCCAAAAACATAAGTTTATAATAAAATATTAATAAACACAGGAAAAAATAAAACTGTGAATGAGGCAGTGCAAGTAATAAAACACAGAATCATATTCAAACAAAAGCAGATACTGGAATTACCCAAGGTAGACTATAAAATAAGTATGCTTAATATGCTTTAAAAAGGGTTTTGAAAATCTGATGAAGGAGCAAAAAAAGACTTGAAACCAGGCATATGTGAAAAATAAAATGTCTAGAAATGATATTATCATCAAAAAAAAAACCCTCAATGTATAGGTTAAACAACAGTATGTCAGAACATAACTGGAAAGATTTTTTGAACTGGAAGATAGAGCTAAAGAAGTAACTCATACTGCAACACAAAGAGACATAAGAATTGAAAATAAGAGAAATCAAATGACACGGAGAAAAGAGTGAGAATGTGTACAAGACATTTTACACACGTTCACCTTACTTTATTCTCAAAATGACTCAGCAAAATAAATATTTTTTTACCCATCTCAGAGGAAAGAAATCAAGGCTGGAGAAAGGTAACTCTCTCAAGGACATATAGCAAGTAAGTGAGAAAGGCACAATTTATATCCCTAGCTGTGACTCAAAAGACCATGGTCATTCAGGCTTTAGCTTGTGGCCTTTGAACTTAGTCAAACTAACTAGTTGCCTTGGAGATAGAAACCATAAACATCTCATGCCCTTAAGGGAAAAATTAAGACTTGAAGGTTTATTTTTTAGAGTCTAACAGTCTGTGTTGAATGAGTCTACTAGATAATTACTTAACTTGCCACTTTCCTATGCAAAGATTTTTTTTATTTGTTTGTCACTCAAGATCAGTGGCTTTCAGAACTCAGTTGGCATAAGAAGTGTTGAGGGAACCTGTTAGAAATGCAGGTTCCTGGCCCTACCAGGATTGAGATTCTGATTCAGACAGGTTATGGTGGGTCTCAGGACTCTGTATTCGTACCAAGCTCCCTAGGTAATTCTGATATGCATGGTTTGCTAGCCGTAATTTGAAAAATACTATTCTTTATCCTCAATTGCACGTATTCTACATATGAAGTAATCAAAGAACAAACCGACTCTTACTTGCAGTGCCATACGTTGGAAGTCTTCAAAACTACGAAGTGATGGAATCCAATCGGAGTTCTGTCTAGACATTTCTGGACTGATTTTGTCTTTTTAAAAAACAAAAGAAAGGATAGAAAATTAGCTCTGGGTATTAGATTTTTCAAAGTTTTAATTAACTTTATAGAAAAGACTCGTGAGAAAATGCTGAGTACTAATGAAGAATCCGATGTAGACTGTTTATAAATTATCATAAACAGAAGGGATTGGAATTGAAAAAGACCTTAAAGATCATCCAACTCAATTTCTACTATACACATTATGATCTCTCCAACAACTTTATTTTTTTTTACCACTAGTTCTTTCCTTTTCTTGACTTCTTTAAGTCTTCTGAATTCTACCAAAACATTATTCACAATATGCCAGATAAGATATAACCTGTGTCAAGGGCTCTAGGTGTATCCAGACACCTAAAATCTCCTCTACCCCTGGCTAACATAAGGAATTCCACGATTTAATTTCATCTAATAGTTAAGCTTGTAGCAACGGCCTTTAACTAGAGGATCTTTAAGCCCCATCTTATATCTCTTCAAAGCTGTCAACACCATTCTATCTCCTATCCATCCTTCTCCATTCTTCAAGGTTTTCTGGTTTTCCCAATGAGCAGTGCTTCTGCTCCTGTGCTCACTCAGAACCTCTACTATCAACATTGAATGCCTTTTTTTTACCTCCCCCAATTCCACTTACTCCATCAACTTCACTAACTTAGGGACTTCACTAACATAGCCTTCCAATCTCCAGTTATTGTAATACATGTCAATAAACAGTAGTTTATTCTCCTTGCAGAAATGTTAGAGACCCATGGCATACAACTTTGATCCTTATTAAAAATGGTAAATCCCTGCCCAATTAGGATAATTCTGATAGCAATACTTGCTTCCTTAGTGGGTATGAGTCTCAGATCTTTTCCTATGAATAAATTTGGATAAGAAGGAGGCCAGGCAATATACAGAAGAGTTCCAGACGCTTCACGAAAGAGAGAATGAGAAGAAGGTATATAACTACATGGGAAGTAGAAACAATATGAAAAATAAACCTCTCCAATTGCACAACTGCCTCAAGATCAGTGTTCCTGACCACTGCCCTCAGCCTGCAAACTCAATTCTGGTCACAGCTCTTCAAACTCAGTTAACAACCCATGACACTCTCCCACAGCTGATTTCTGAAGTTATTTCCCCATTGACTTTCAGCTGTATCTAGTGACTTTCATCTCCTATACTTTTTCCAAGGAAATAAAAAAGACAGAAAAGAGTCCGTATATTTCCAAGGAAAGAAAACCAGTGTATTTTATCAATCAATCATAAAGAGCTTTTCTACCCTATTATTACCCTTGAACTTGTTTTGTTTCTAGTGTAGGTATCATATCTAATTCTTCACTAAAATTCCAGTGACCAGCATTATATTTAATTCACAATAGGGGTTCAGTAAATCCTATTAAACTGAATCTTATTCATTCATTTATTTAATTAGTCTTTACTGAGCTTCTCTTATGTGTCCTATTCTCTTTTCAAGGCTCAGGATACAGTATGAACAAGGCAAATAAGATGACTATCTTTTGTACCATATAGACTAGTTGGGGGTGGGGGGCAGATAATCAACACTTAGATAATGGAACTAGTAATTTCATACATCGTTAAGTAAAATAATTTAGACTGGGTGATCAAGAAAAGCTTTACTGAGAAGGTAACATCTGAATCAAGATCTGAATGGCAGGAAGACAGCCATGTGAAGACCTGGGATCAAAGCACCTCAGGCAGAGGAAGCAGTTAAGTACAAAGTGAGGCAGAAAAGAATATGGTCTATTTAAATAACAGACAGGAGGCCAAGGGAGCCACACTAGGGTGACCAAGGAATAGAGTAGTAGAAAATGAAGTCTACCAGACAGTCAGGGCCAGATCATGCAGGCTATATGGTAAGGAGCTGGCATTATTCTGAGTGGAACATAAGTCCTTTAAGCAGGAAAGTGACATATGTTTTTTAAAAATCATTATGAGTAAGATGATTTTTGTTTGGTTGGTTGGTTTGTTGGTTTTAGCATGTGAATTTGCTACAGAACAATAAACCTGAGAACTGGTCCTTGTGGGAAAAAAAGATCACTATGACTGTTTGTGAAAAATATATTAAATTGAGGAGCAAGAGTAGAAGCAGAGAGTCTAGCTAGTAAGCTTCTTCAAAGTAACAGATGATGGTAGACTAAATTAGGTCAGTACACCAAGGCTATGGAAATGGGAAAAAGTGAGTGGATGTGAGGTATATTTTAGAGGTAAAGTCAAAAGGATTTGTTGATGGATTGTGTGATGGAGTGACAGAAATGGAAGACACAAGAATGACTTCTAGATTTTTAGCTACAGTAGCTAGAAGAATGATTGGTAGTACCAGCTACCAAAATGGGGAGACTGGGGTTGGGGTGTGTAAGAACCAATGGAATGGAGAGGAATTAAGAGTTCCTTTATGACCATGTCAAATTTCCTATTAAATACCCAAATGAAGTAACGTAAGAAACTCTCTTACTAGTTTAATAAAGAGTATGATTCTCAAGTATGGAACTCAGGTAAGAGGTCAGGACTGGAGATAAATTTAAAAGGTGAGGGTCACTGACATCCAGATAGCACTTCAAATTAAGGGACCGGATGAGATTACCTAGGAAATTAGGTTAGATATAGAAAAGGGTCCAAGGACTGGGCCCTGGGCCACACCAATGTTTAGAAGTTGAAAGGGAAAGTAGGGAATGCAAAAATAAAAAAGAAAAAAGAAATAAAAGAGTGCCCAATGAGCTAGGAGAGAAACCAGGTGAGTGTGTTATCCTGGAAGCCAAGAGAAAAGTGTGTCACAAAAGGGAGTGGTCACCTGTCCCATGTTTTTGAAAAGTCAGGAAAGATGAGGACATTTAAGGGACAGAAGAATTCAGCGATATGGAGGTATCTGTTATTCCAAACAAAAAGAGTTGTACTGGACTGTAAATTTGCTCCAGCTTCAGTGAAGTGAGTTGAGGAAAGAATGGGGCATGAGGAAGTGGAGACAAGGTCTATACAAACATTTCAGTAACATTTGCTGTGAAGGAAGGGGACACAGAAGTATTATGGGATCAATAAACTATTCTTTTTAAAGAAAGAGATTTTTACAGCACGATTATATGCTTATGAACATAACCTGCTCAGATATTTTGAGTTAAACATACTTAAATATTATAAATACTATTTTAAATTCCATTTTACACTTTCGGAGCTATGTTTCCCTTAGCAACGTTCACCATATGCCTTCAAGTGCTTAAGATACAGAAATGTGCATTATTATTGCCTAGTATACATCTATTAATTCTCATTTCCTTGTTCCACTTTTTCATGAACTTCAATAGTATTTTCAGCATCGACCACAAACTTACAAATGGAGAGAAAACTGTATTAGAAGGTGCTTCAAGAGATCTTTTAGTCATTAATCCCTACCAAAGGTGTCTGTCTGAGGTAAAGGGAGAGACCTAGCTATCCCATCCACCACTAATTTTCGATATGGGTAATCAAAAACTATAAGGATCACAGGGATGGGGAGCATGGCATAGGGAATGCAGTCAGCATTAATGTATTGGCTAAGTAGAAAGCCAGAGGAGAGAAAGAGCAATTAGGGGGATCGTTTTATAAGCTATATAAATGTCTAACCAATGTACTGTATACCTAAAACTAATTAAAATAAAATTTAAAAAAAAAAACTATAAGAATGAGTTAAGGTACTCAGATCAAACCTTCCTCCTTTAGTGACAGAACTTTAGGGCTCTGCAATTTTTTAGCTCTGCTTCCTTTTACAGGATAACCTTTAGTTTGTATCATGGTACGCAGTGCAGTGAAAAAGGTATTGGAACAGTCCTTCTTCTTATTTTCACGTATATTAGGTGCATTCCTAATTGACAAAAAACAATCAGGGTTATTGATGGTAAGGGTAGGGCTGGAAATTCAGATAGTGCAACAATGGATAGGGATAAAAAAGGAGAGAAAGGGAGATGTTAATGTCAATATTTGAGCAAAAATCTAACCCTTTCATCACTCATAGGACAATAGTAACTGTCAATATTAAAATAAGGAAATGAAAGCCAATCTCACCTTCCTTAGACTAAGGCCCTTGAGGGTAGGGACCAGATCTGTCCCTATGTCTTCCATAGCAGAGCCTAGCAGAGTATCTAGAACTGTAGCTTAATAATTATATACAACAAATTAAGTCCAGATTAATTTGGATTTAATAGTGGGTCTTGGTTCTACCATATATTCTTACCTACTTTTACAGGTAAAGAAATTTACTTATTAAAGAAAATTCTTTCTGAATCATTTATAATTACTCAAGAGGTTCTCTCGTAATCATTGCTCCTCAGAGAGAAGGCTGAACAATACAATACTTTTTGAGCCTTTTTTTTAACCTTTAGAAAACCTAGATCATAGAAAAGGGTAACGGAGGTCAAATATATGGTGATGGAAGGTAATTTGACTTTGGGTGGCAAATACACAATGCAATATACAGATGATGTATTATACAGTTGTACACTTGAAACCTATATAATTTTATTAACCAATGTCACTCTGATAAATTTAATAAAATTTAAAAAAAAGATCACACTGAAAATTTTTGACAAAAACATTTTCATTAGTGCACTACTTCTGATGTTTGAACTGAAAAAAATAAGGTAATTTATCCTCTCAAACACAAATGAAGTTAAGCTCTAGGCAAGCCAAAAGCCCTAAAACAGGCTTCTAAACCTATCAGGGACTGCAAACCATTTACTTAGTGTTAGCTCTGGGCAGCCGCTGTGCAAGGCATGGAGGATACAATATGATGAGGGAGATATCAGGTACATAGGTAATGTAATTAGTATTATAATAGAGATGGGGCCAGGGGTTATGGAAAACTCACTAGAGAAACTAAATTTCCCTGAGTGGGTCAGACATGCTCAAAAAAGTAGAATTTTGCTAGGTGTGAAATTGAAACAGAAAATGAAAGAGGGTTCTGACAAAAATATCGGTGAGTTATAAATTCATACCTCTTCTTTTTTTTCCTCATGTTTTTATTCACTATTCAGTGATTTAACAAAGAATTCTGAAATCAAAGTAGAACAACATTTTACTAAGAAATCAGTCTATGATGCGTCACAGTAAAGCAATAAGATTAATAAAAAATCTCGATTGCATGGCCCCTTTACATCAAGGAACACCTACTTCTTTTAAAGATAGAATTTCGTTAAGTACCAATAACCCTCTCATACGTTATGTAGATGCTGAAGACTTGCTTTATTGTGTGATCCCTAATGAATATTTGTCATAACTTTGTAAATGGATTTATTTGAAAAAGTTACAACATTCTATGAAGTTACACAACTTAATCCAAAAGTCAAGTATTTGTAGCTTTAACACCATACCCTTAAATTCCTTTAACTTCCACTAATTTCAAGATCATTTAATGAAACACAGACGAATGTGAATTGAAAGATTCGTATCTAGCTGCACACAATACCATGACACAATAGACAAAGTCTGCATTTATCGTTGATATCATAGAGATCTCAGGCATACAAAAAATGGCCCTAAAATCACAGAGTCCTCTGCTTTGAACTATATAATTAGATTCACATATCTCCTCAAGGTCAAAGCCTGAAGGAAGAAGTCAATGACATCCAAATACATATGTGTTAAACAAGAAAATGAGTTAAAATATAACAAACATCCTTTAAACATGCTCAAGAAAGTAGGGGAAAGCTCTGGAGTCAAATACTGGAAAGACAATGAAAACCAAAGCCAGTTAGAACACCAGTGTACGCTGCTGTGGGGATGGGGTGCATGGCTACGCAACAAAGGAGCTTGAGTACTCTCTTGGGTAAAGGAGAATCTAAGCAAGGAATTGAAACTAAAGCCCATTTTCTCTTCCCTAGGTATAGCCAAGACTTCAGGGGCTATAATTTCATTCAAAAATTGTCCCGTCAACAAAGGAAGAAAATAAAGAAATTTTTCTGCCTCACCATGTTCTCTAGGTAGGAAAAAAAGGATACTACTAGATTGAATCAACCTTAGGGTTCCAGGTTCCACAGAATTTTCACAGATAAGGCACCAGTGAAGATGAGTTCACCATTCAAAAGTAGAAAGTATATAAGAAAACAATCCACCATATGCCAAAATTAGGACACAGACACCCACACCCAACTGCACCCCACACACCCAGCAGTATGAGATCTCTAAGAACTTCAAATAATTCAAATATCTGAGCACCATAATAAATTAACTGTTTTTAGAAATAATAAAGACAAAGTAGATGAAACTTAAGATATGAGGAAAGACCAGGTAGACATAGAACAAAAGAGAAATTCTGTAAAAAAAGACATAGTCAATGAAATTAATTCCAAAAAGAGGGAATAAACAATGTATTAAGACACACTAGATATGAAAATTAGTAAATGGAATACAGGTATGAGTAAATTTACCATATTACCTTTACAGAGATAATGAAATGGAAAATATGAAATAAAAGGTTATGAAACATGAAAGATAGAATGGGAAGACCTAATATATATCTGACAGGAATTCTAGATAAAATGAATAGCAACAATGAAAGACAAGCAGTATAGAGCTAATAACTGAAATTTTTCCATAACGGAAAATGTGATCCAATCTGATTAAATTCAAATAAAACCACATCTAGAAATATCAGAGTGAAATTTCAGGACAGAAAGACAGCTAGGCCATTCTGTGCAATACAAGAGATCAACAAATACCAAAGACTAGTATCACATAGGCCATATATTCTGGCCCTAATGCGAATGAATTAGAAGTCAAGAACAAAAGGATAATATAAAACCCTTTAGACTTGGATACTTAAAACAATAGCAACAACAACAAAATCTTCAAAATAGCTCTGGAAATCAGAAAATATTCAGAACTGAAGTATTATAAGAATACTGCATATAACAACCTGTAATATGTAACTAAAGCAGTACCAAAGAATTTATACCCTTAAACACTTATTAGAAAAGGAAAGAAATGAGCTAAGCAGTCAATAAAAAAATTGTTAAAACAGTAATAAAACTAAAGAAAAGTAAAGCAAGGAAATAATAAAGACCAGAAAATGATGCAATAAAAATAAGAATATAATAGAACAGATTAAAAAATCTGTTTCTTAAAAAAATAAAATAAAATAAAATACCATTTTACCAGATTGATCATGAAATAAGGGAGAAAACACATTTTGGAATGAAAAGTGTGTACCTATGAATAAAAGAGATGGAAGAAAGCAGTATGATTAACTCTGTACCCATAAATTTTAAAAGAGACAAAACAGAATCTTTTTTACCCAAACGTACTTTAAATACAAATAAAATTTGAATAAATCCTGAAAATGTAAATTAATTAATTCAGTGATTAAAATTTTATTCACAGAAAAACAACCTAAACAAACCTAAATAAAATAGCCCTGATGCTTTCATGACTAGATGCTTCCAAACATTTAAATAACAGGTATCTCATATTATTTCATACAATTTATGCCAGAAAACAGATAGAGAAGCCACCCACCCAACTCATTTTATAATGCTAGTATATTCCTTATACTAAACCAGAAAGGTCAGCATCAGAAGGGAAAATTTTATATGGCAATTTTATTTATGATCTAGATTCTAAATCCCAAATATAATTATCAAATCCAAACCAGCTGAGTATTTAAAAATTTGTGCTAAGTCCAGAAATACCAGGAATTTCACATTAGAAAAATATAATTCAACATATTGGACAAAAAGAGAAAAAAAATGTGATCATCTCAGTAGATGCAGAAAATGCATTTGACATAATTCAATACACATATATAATTTTAAAAAAATATTCTTAACTGACTAGATATAGACAAGAACTTTAACCTGATAAAAGGAATCAACCAAAAACACACAAACAATATACTTAAAAGGTGTAACAGTGAAGGAATTATTTAGATTCAGAGAGAAAAAAAAAAACAAGAGTAGCTACTAAAACATTTAATATATAGTGATAAAGGTATATTAATCAATGCATTAAGATAGGAAAAATAAATAAAATAAATAACTCTTGGAAAGGAAAAACGTAACTGTCCTCAGTCATGAACACTATGGTTATCTTCATAGAAAATCCAAGAGAGTTTGCAGTTTACTAAAAATAATAAAATATTTCAGCAGGTCGTTGTATACAAGATTAATATTTATAAATTAATTTTGTTCCTATATGCTAGCAACCAAAATTAGAAAGCTTTTTTAAAATATACAATAGCAAGAAAAATGTATAGTGACTACTGCTTATAGCCATGAAATAATAACTAATATGGGAATAGCCCACTTGCCATGAACAACTAGGAAACTGGAAAAATTATAGGAAATACCTGTTTCGGTGCATTAGACAGCAGGCAGCATATGCCTGTGATCCCTGAGATAAAAGAAAAAAGAAGAGAAATTACAATAATCCCAGCTTTCTAACTGAAGTTACTTCCAGAGCATGGTTCAGGGAGCAGAATCCCAAGCAGAGTACAGAGGTCTCACTAAGATTAACAGACAGAAAGAAGAGTTCAGAAAGGCCAAGATGGCTGAAATTCGTTTAACAGAATACCAGAAAGAAAAGAGCTATGGCAAAACAAAACAAAACAAAACAAAACAAAACAAAACAAAACAAAACAAAACAAAACACACATCCAAAAATCTGAATACAGGTTCTCTTGAATCTTTGGCTGAATACTAAGCTTTGCCTGTGCAAGGTGACACTCTACACAAACCAAAGAACTACCAGGGAAAGAACAAATACAATGAATTCAAAACTAAATAATAATCACAGCTTACACATGGCTGGATGACATTTGAGTTTCATCCAGCAGAGTGGAGAAAAAAAGGTTGAAAACTGAACAGAGATTCAGTGTATGATAATGTCAGGCAATCTAAAATACATATAAGTGGATTCCACAAAGGAGGAGGCAAAAAAAATTTTTTTTTATATAATGGCCAATTTTTTCCATACTGGATGAAAAATATAAACTTCTGTCTTCAAGAAGCTCAACGAATCCAAGAAAATGAACACAACAAAAAACTCACCAAGGCACATCATACACGAATTGCTAAAAAACAATTATAAAGAGAAAACCTTAAAGGCAAACAGAAATAAAGGACACAGTTAATACAGGAGAGAAAAGCCAAAAGAAAATAAAACGTCTTGAAAGTGCTGGGGAGAAAAAATCAACCTAGAGTTCTATATCCAACAAAAATACATCCTTCAAAGAAATTGAAGGTAAAATAAAGACATCTTCAGATGAACAAAATCTGAAAGAAGTCAAGGTCAGCACATGAGTACTGCCAGAAATGTTAAAGGAAGTACTTCAGGTAGAATGAAAGGATACCAGGTAGAAACTCAGATGCACATAAAGAAGTGAAAAGCACTGGCAATAATATAGATGTGGATAAATATAAAAGGCGGTTTTCATCTTTAATTTCTTTAAAAGATAACTGACACAAAAGCAAACTACTATAGGGTTTATGATACATGTAGAAGTCAAACCTATGGCAATAACAACACAAAAGACAGGAAGGTAGAAAATAAAAATCTAATGTTGTAAAGCTCTTACATTACACATGAAGTGGCACAATATTAATTCATGGCAGACAGCAATAAATCAAAGCTGTATACTATAAGCTGCCTAAAGCAACCAATAAAACACACATAAGATATAGATTACAAATGAAAAGACATAAAATGGTATACTCATTAAATACTCATTTAATCCAAAAGCAAGCAGAAAAAGACAAAAAGAACAATTATCAAATGAGACAAATAAAACATATAGGAAGATAGTAGACTTAAACTTGACCATATTAATACTTACACTGTCAGTGGACTAAGACACAAATGTAAAGTCTGGGATTGTCGAAACTGGAGAAAAAAGTAAGACCAAACTATGTGTTATCTACGGGATACTCACTTTAATTACAGACACATACAAATGTTATATTATAAAGTTGTAGGATTGGATTAAACATGATGGAGTGAGAGATGTCCCCAGATGTCTCCCCTTGAAACAACAATAAGCTGAACATCTAAAACTCAACAAAAAACACCCAAACTGCACACTAGCACGTCTGAGCATGGGATCTGCATATAAGAGCCACCATAGGTCAGAACCCCGGGTATCAGGTGGTGAACTTGAAGAAATAAAGCAGCTGCCTCTCACAGCGAGAGCTCCCTGTAGGAGGAGGGGGAGAGGAAAAGAAGCGGCGAGTTCCCTGAACAGCCCTGCCTGGGAGTGCTATGAGCTCCACAAGGCCTGTGGCATTGCCCACTCATCAGGGCAGAAGGCACAGAAACAGGAATGGCAGAAAAGCGGGGACAGCAGAGAAACAACAGTTGATTTTTACCAGCCCCAGTTGCAAAACTGAGGCTGGGCCGCATCCTCCAACCCCCAACTCAGAGGGCCTCTCCAACCATACCCTCCCAGATGGAATGCTGCGGGGCCCCAAGGGAATCTGAGCAAACACTACCCAAACTGTCGCTAACACTGACAGGAACTGAGAATGAGGATGGCGAGCGTGGTTAAATATCTATAAAGAAAAAAAAGACAACATTAAGACTTTATATAAAGCAGAGATCCAAGAGGCTTAGATTCCACCTACTGAAAACCAAAAGAAAAACACCTTATTTGCAACAGGCTAGGGACCATTATATAATAAATCTT